TCAGTTGCGAGACAAACGACATAATGAATTGTTCCAGGGTGTTTAGAAAATGCATCTTGGCCAGCTCGGTCAAATCCTCGCTACCTGAACAGGGTATCATCGCTCGGGTGCCGATCCGTTTCGATATCACCCAAAGCATCGACAGGAATAGCCATAAGAGGGCAGGTGTTTGGTGTCGGCAAACATACTTGAGCTGAGCGCCAGCATCGGTGAGATTGATCCGGGTTTTGTCGTGATATTTACCATTGTCAAATGTTCCCAAATATATTATCACACCCGCTGTAATCATGACTATGGCGGCAAGTATTGAATGTATCGCAACCCGACGGCCATAGGCTTTAAGATCTTCCTTGGTGGTTAACGGAATAGCAGACTGTGGCATTTTAATTAGTTAATAATTAATTAATTAACTATTATTAATTTTTTAGACAATGTTGTTTTAAGTTAATTCAATATTATTACAAAATGGCCCAAAATTACAAAAGGTTTTGTTGTTTGCCTATTAATGCTACATTAATTTACATATTAAACCAGTTTCCCATGGTCAATTCAAAAAGGATATTTTGTAGTCCTTGAAGCTGTTATAAAAACATCTTACTTACATAAAATGGTAAAGATCAAAGTAATCTATTGGTTGTTATTAATTGTATTAGCAGCAATAGAATTGAAGGCATATTTTTACTGTTTAATTTATTTTTAAATTAATCTGATATACTGTATACAATTATTAAATACATTATTTATTAATTATCTAAATTATTTAAATACATATAGGTGAAAGTAGTAAGTTACAACTAGATACTAACACATGAATTGATAATTTTTACATTAATCAACAATAAATAATATTAAATAGATTGTGTTTTGATACGTTTAAAGCAATTTTTGATTTATTTATTAAACAATAACATTTTTCACAAAAAATCCTAATATAACGTTACTTTTAAATTCGCGATAAAAAACTACAAAAAGTGTTTTTCTGATATTATTATTTAAAAGGATTGCATTGTTATATACAATGACTTAAATCCTAAACCGTTCTTCAAGTTTAACCAAATCGACGCTCAAAGACCACAATTTACGGGCCGTCGAGTCATCCATGGCTTCGGCTACCATACTGTCCACTCGATGACAATTACTGAACCAAAACAAACAAACATAACATTAAGTAAATATCATTACAATAACATCTCGACTATAACGGACTCGTAATAAAAACCGGATTCATTGGCCACCGACTCGTCGAGAGCGCAGTAGAGTGTGGTCTGAGATCCCAAACAGGGTTTTAGGAAAAAGTTGCGTTTGAAAAAGCCGTCGCTGAATGTGGTGTGTCGTTGCAGGTCTGTACTGATGGCACCGGGGTTTAGGCTATAGATGTTAACATTGGTTTTGTCCAGTCGTTTGGCCAATTCTCTGGTGAATAATACGTTGGCCAGTTTACTCTGAGCGTACGCTTTGGTTGGGTCGTAAACACCGTGTTGTAAGTTTATGTTATCAAGGTTTATTTCGCCCATTAAATGCATGCTCGATGAAACATTGATTATACGAGCTGCTGGCGAGCTTCGTAATAATGGTAATAGGTGCATGGTTAGTAGAAAATGACCTAGAAAGATTAAATATATTTATTGTGCCGATTGCTACTGGTACATACAGTGATATACCTAGATCTTAATAATTTATGCATAAATCACACTAATTTATATAATTTGTTAAACTAATTATGTAGCATAATATTTGTACCTAGGTGATTAGTGCCAAACTGCATTTCAAACCCATCCTCCGTTTGCCACTCAGGACAGGCCATAACTCCGGCGTTATTAATAAGTATATCGACTTTTGTCTCCAAATCCGACAACTCTTCCACACATTTGCGGACAGATGTGAGTGAAGACAAGTCCAGCGAAAGTAGTCTTATATTTGCCTTTGGATTCAATGCAAGCATTTCTCTCATAGCGTTCTCCCCTTTCCGTGAGTCTCGACACAAGATATAAACCTATTATTGAGTTTTTATAGTAATTACCATTTAATTAGTATTAAATATATTTATAAATAATCTTATTGTTTGAAAATGTTTAACAATTATTTAATATTAATTTGGCCTATTTATTAACTTTATTATTTAACTTAAATTCGTTTATATCTTACAAACCTTAGCCTCTCTGAGTGTGAGCTGAAACGCGGTCTCCTTCCCGATGCCAGTGTTGGCGCCGGTAATGACCACTACCTGTCCGTTGAGCCGCTTATTACTGTTCACAATACGTCTCCACCCAAAGAAATTGGTCATCATTTCATAGAAAGCGATGCATAGTATACGCCACGCGTGTATTAATTTCATTATGATGCTCAATATTAACCAGCTGATATGATGAAATTCTAATATTTAAACATTTAGACTAAATAATAAATTAATTGAGCAATAGCTAATTGAGCAAATATGTTTAATATAAATACATAAAAATATATTAAATTTAACATTCAGTAATTTTATATAAGGTAGTTGTGATAGAGTTGTTATGTGTTTTATCAATATAAAACTGAGTTTTAACGATTAGTTTAGTCACTGTATATCAGAATTAAAGTACGTGCTATATAATTATGTTGTTTACTTAATAATGGAATTATATAATACATTGATTATATTATATTGCTACATAAAAATGAATCAAGTTGTTATATGTTATCAAATTTGGAAATTATATTTTATATTGAAACTACAAACACAATACAAATTGGCCATATAATACAATATCGTAAAGTACCATAAATCAAAAATTAAACTAATTAACTATTAAATAATTACAATTAATCTATACAGTAGTTATATTAATACAAATGAAACACTCACTTAATCAATAGTGTATTTGCACACAAACATTATATTGCAGTTAACATAATTCCATATTATCACTTTTACCATATTGTAATTTTTACAGTTTATATTAATAGATTTATTTAAATAATAATTATTTAATAAAATTAATAATATAGTTGTAATTATATTAATAAGCAAATTAATTAATACAAAATTTATTAAAATAAAAAATAAGTTAATAAAATAAACATAACTTTTACATGTACCGGTATATCTATCATATTAATTATTTTTTAAAACAGTTGGGTTAGTTGAAAAGTTTTATTTGACTAACATAAAATTTTTCATAACCGCCATACTTTAACATCACAGTCAACAAATTATACTGTATAAAATTGACTAAATTAAACAACCAAGATCATGTCCAAACCGGGCATTCTACACAAACCCAAATACCCGGTACCGGTGGGCGTCACTTCAATAATGACATATAAGTGCAACCCTTTAAGTGGTAGCCAACCACTGACAGATAATATTCACCAATGGACATTTGAGAGCAGCTTATTTACCAAGCAGAAATACGAGCGAATTCGCGGAACCACCATGTTCGTTGACTATTTCTGGTCATTTTGCTCAGACCCGGCCCGGTATGAGGTGCTGACCAAAGTGGTGCTCAACCTGTTTGTGTTGGACGACCACATGGAGACCCGGGACGGCGATATCGGTCGCCAAGAGGCCGAAGTGGAGCACATATGGGGCCAATTGTATGGCGTATACGATAAGCTATTGGCGCCCATAGCTGGCGGCACCGGTGACGGACAGCACGTGTCCGCACACCACTGGAAGCCCTATGTGTTGGCCGCGTATGCTATTCATGACGAGGTGTTGACCGCCTTTAATGACGTCCAAAAGCGCCGATTTGTAGACGTATGGCGCGAGTGGACGGACGGTATGGTCGCCGAGTGCGTCGATTTGGACCGAAAGCGTGTTTATAAAAGTATCGACGAGTTTTTTGCGGTAAATGCATTAAACCTTGTTCTTTATTATATGACCCATGAAATCTCATCACCGGCTTAACTTTTTCATTAGGTTTAATCATAACTTGAGTATTGAATTCAACCATTGAATCAACTATTATAAAATGAATAGCACACAAAATATACAAAGTTTAATGCAAAAGTTAAGCCGGTGATGAGATTTCAAGGGTGATATAAGATTTATAATATCATTCAAGTAATACCATACTTACCTTAATTATCTAATCTACGTTTCATTTTTGCTTATACAGTACTTTATCAACTGGGTGAACAAGCAGTTGTGTAAACTTAGCATTTGTATGAACCAAACCCTAAAACCAAAACCCGTAGTCCATAGACATAATGTTAAAATAGTATCAACTGTGTAAACGTCAACTGTGTGAACATATCATTTGTGTGAACAAAATTGAGCTAATATTATACTATATTCAATACAATCAGTTGTGTGAACCACATATATTATGTGACAAAACCCACATATAGATGACAGCATTAATATTTGTTTTGTACACAAAACCAAAAAACCTTAACATAAAGTTAAATTACATTATAAAGAGATAATTTATGCTTACAAAATCCAAGCAATGTCACCTATATTGATAAAACAACAACATATTCTTACTTTTAACATGTAATCAGTTGTATGAATATATCATTTGTGTGAACCAAATGCTAAAACCCAATTGGTTCACCCAGTTGATAAAATACTGTACTATAAAATATGTAAACAAGGTGCGGCAAAAATCGGTGGCCCTAATGCTTATCTATCAACTCATTGAGTACGCGGACAATCTCTACGTACCGGAGCCCGAGTGGCGCAACCCTACAATGCGATCGTTGTTTACAACGTTAGAGCGTTTGGACGCCATCTGTAACGACATGTACTCCTTTGAGAAGGAGCTGATGGACGCCGACGGGTGTCCGCACCGGACGTACAACTGTGTGGCCGTATTGGCACAGATGGAGAATATATCGCTCACTGAATCTATGAACCGATGGGTCACTGAGTTTAGGGACTTAGGAAAAAAGGCATTGGATTTGAGCGATGAGATATTGGGGTCAGACTGGGCCAGTCCGGACACCCGGGTATTTGTCGGCCATGTTATGTACTGCTCTGGCGGTCATTGGAAGGCGTCCACCATGGTCGATCGGTATAATACACTAACAATACCAAAAACTTTTGACTATTAAGATTATTTTGTTACTATTGTTACAATATTAATAAATAAATTTCTATCCTGTTGAATGATTTTTACTAGACATAAATTTTTATGTTTCATACGACATAATAATGCTTATTATATTTACAGTTGGACTTAAACATTATAAAAGGATAAACGTGATTATAATTTAAATTTAATTTGTAAATAAAAAAACTAATACATTTTAATCACTTGCATAATTAATCAGTTTACAATCTAGGTAACCAATTCCGCCATCTTTCTTACCTTGAGTAGAGTGCTATAAAGTTTTAATATACATTAGTAATATACATTAATGTTTTAATTAAATTACTAATGTATGTTAAAACTTTGTAGCACTCTACTCAAGGTAAGAAAGATGGCGTAATTGAAGAGCCTGAGTTTACAATGATATTTAAAGTTAATAACCATAATCAAATTTTGAGATGTTCCTCGAGCTTAACTAAATCACAACTCAATTCCCACAGACTTTTGGCAGTCTTGTCGTCATTGGCTTCGGGTATCATATGATACACACGACGACAGTTGCTATAAATATAAAAATACAAAAATTAAATAAATAACTCTTTATAATAATCTAGACCTATTAAACTAAAAATAATATAATAATAATTACTTATAATAAAATCCCGATTCATTTGCGAGTTTATCGTCGAGAGCGCAGTAGAGTGTGGTCTGAGATCCCATCAATGGTGTTAGAAAAAACCTGCGCTTTAACCAACCACTCTCGGTCGATACCGACCCCTCCCGTGGCTCAGACGTGCCCACGTGACGGCTCAGGTCAGTGTTTACCACTCCGGGAGTCAGACTATAGGTACTTATGTTTGAATAGCGGAGCCTTTTGGCCAATTCTCGGCTGAACAACACATTTGCGAGTTTGCTCTGAGCGTACGAGAAGAATGGATTGTATGTACCATTTCGGAGGTTTACATTATCAAGGTGGATTTGGCCAAATAGGTGTATGCCTGAAGATACGGTTATTATACGAGCTGCAGGTGCGTTCTTTAACATTGGAATTAAATGTAGTGTAAATAAGAAATGACCTGAAAATTATAAATTAATTTTTAGCATAAATACATATAGTTAAAAATTTATTATCATAATTAATATTTAAATAGCATTTTAATATCATATATAAATATCACTGTTTGTTAAATATAATTAGATAACATACCTAAGTGATTAGTGCCAAACTGCATTTCAAACCCATCAGCCGTTGTCCACTCCGGACAGAGAGCAACGCCGGCGTTATTGATAAGTATATCGACTTTTGTCTCCAAACCCGACAACTCTTCCACACATTTGCGGACAGATTTGAGTGAAGACAAGTCCAGCGAAAGTAGTTTTATATTTGCCTTTGGATTCAATGATAGGATATCATTGACGGCCGCTTCGCCTTTCTTTAGATCCCGACACAAAATATAAACCTTTTTGTATTTAAAAATAACAATATATATAAAACAAATGTTAAATTATTAAAATTATATATATTTTTATTAATTGAGTTATTATTCACATTACATTTTTTAATTTTTATATTATAATAAATTATTATAAAATTTAAACTATACCTTAGCCTCTCTTAGTGTGAGTTGATATGCAGTTTCTTTACCGATGCCAGTGTTAGCGCCGGTAATTACAACTACCTGTCCATTAAGTTTCTTATCACTGGTAACCCGTCGGCGCCAACCAAAAAAATTTACCATATATTCATTGAAAATATTATATATTATACGCCAAATGTGCTTTAATTTGAAGTGATATCCCATTATTCAACAATTTAATTAATATAATATTAAAGATACGGTATATATAATATTGTTAATTCACTTTAAGCATCAGGTAACTTAACTTTTTTACTTTAAACATAAAAGTTTAAATACAACATTAAACATTTGATTATAAATGTTATTTCTGTATATTAATAAAGATACACAAAATACAAATTGTTTATTGTGTAAACCAACCACTATAATTTGTGTATATAATATTGCGGTAAAT